ACTAGAGGTGGAGGCAGAGATGATGGCATGGAGAGATAAAGCTGCCGAGGACTCTAGACTTGTGGGAAGAGAAATGCTGTATGCTGGTGGCCAGGAGGCAGGCTTGCCGAATGTGTCCTTTGGTTGTTTAAATGGTTATATATTCATGAGTGTTTTTGTGTACAACCAAAACAACAACAACAACAACAACAAAACAAAAAACAAAAAAACACCGGAGAATAGAAGCAAATACGGTTGAATGATGATGCCCGGAGGAGATTGTAATCATTGCAGTGAAATGAAATACGATAGGATGAGTGTAAAACTGACATTCTCCCATGTAAACTATTACTGAATTCACAATAAAAATGTAAAACAAAACAAAATGTACATAGCCCTGGAGGATATGTAGAGACACAATAACTTCACATTTTGACATTTTTGTTTAATACAGGCTACTATGATTTTGTAGCAATACTTTTTTACTTACCTTCATATATTACTTTTAGTGTCATTGTCTACTTAGTTTCTGTGAAAAGAATTTTTTCTTGATTATTAAAAGAATCCTGAAGATAAATGTTGAGTTTTTTTCCAAAACATGAGTTTAATTTAAGTATGAAGGTAAAACATCACTATAAACGGCTACTGTTTTACCCATTAAAGCAAAAGACCTTAGATATTTTCTTTGTAATTATTGTTTGACATAGGGTTTAATTTGTTTGGCTGCTTTTTTAGATGTAGGAGAGGATTGGTTTTCTGTAATCAATTTTATAGTATATCACTGTACCAAATAAACTATAATTATTGTTTAGGTAAAGAGCCCTGCTAGAGTAGTTGGTTGTTGGGCTGCTCACCACAAGGTCAGAGGTTCAAACGCACCAGCTGATCCTTGGAAGAAAGATGAACTTATCTGTTCCCATAAAGATTTATAGTCTTTGAAACTCTAAAGAGCAGTTATATTTCGTACTATGATTTCTCTATAAGCCATAATCAACTCAGTGGCAGTGGATTAGGTTAATGTTTGGTGATGTTCATTTAAAAAAAGATAAAAAGGAAACAAATTATTAATTATCGGATGGTCACTTTCAGGTACTCCTTTTCATTTATAGGTATAAATCAGTTGGCTCCAACTCATAGCCATCCTGTTTATATATGTTATTGTTCAATGCTGTCACATTGGTTCCAACTCACAGCAACACTGTATGGTGTTTCCAAGGAGTGGTTTATGGTCTTTGGTTAGCAGTCCAATGCTTATCCTACAGTGCCACACACAGAACTTCATATATATATATATATATATATGTGTGTGTTTGTTTTTTAAAGCCACGCTACTAAGGGTTTTCTCTTTCCATATTTGTGACAAAAGTAGTTTAGGGCAGATAAAAGCACATGCCATCCTATTACACTTTTCTCTTAACATCCTTGAAGGGTAAGAAAGAGAGGCATTTTGAGTATTTGGTTGTGTTTTTCTCATCCCTAGTCACAGTCACCCATGGTGGGGGAAAGAGGTGATACTCTGCTTGCATCAAGATTACAGCCTTGGGAACCTTGTGGGGCAGTTCTATGGGTCAGCATGAGTTTCAGTTGAGTCAATGGCAGTGGGTTTGGTTTTGGTTTTTGTCTCCAATGAATACATGACTTGATTTATCTTGATCAACCTAGTAAGTTGCTCCACATTTTTCCAAAAGTGCAAGGCAGTTTCTGCTAAAAATACACATATCAAAATGCTCCAGAAGTTGTGGCCAGAGCTCAAAAATGCTGATCAATTTTGAAAATCTAAATCAGCCTTTGCCATGAAACCCAGGGAAGAACCTTTGTGGTGCAGAACAAATTTCCAAAAATTCACCACAGCCCTGTTCTTAGCTGGAGTTTATGCTGATGTTGCCAGACAACTGAGGAATAGATGCAAAAAGCAGGAAGCATTATTGAATTGAGCCCCAGTGCCAATTTGGGAAAAGCAAATTAAAATGTAAAAGAATACTTTTCCACTCCTGTCCTCTCAATGTAAGATGACAAAATAGAAGATTGCTGAAAAAAACTACAGAAAGTGCTAATTTTTCCAGAAAAAAAGTACAAATCAATTACTCAGTCTTTTTGCATTTAAAATGAATAACTTAGATAACCATTAAAAACAAACAATGAAAGCATTTTAATGAAAATGTTTTAATTAATGAAAATGAAGATAAGGTTAAGTGTGAGCGACATAAACGAGTGTGTGTGTGGCCTGTTTTCATTGTCTTTTGATGTTTTTTTAGGTTTCACTTGAAGAATGGATGATGATGATTTTGGTGGTTTTGAGGTATGTGCTATTATTTATCTTATTTTGCTTGTATAATTGCTTAACTGTAGGATTATTGTGGAATGAACTATTTTGAAAATGCACACTAATCATTGGGATTCATAATGTTTTCTTGATCATTCTGAGAGTTAAAACTGATTTATTATTATTGTGTCTCACCCATAGGCATGATTTAATGTGTCATCATTAAGTAGTAGCCGTGGAAGCATTAAAAAGAGGTTTTGAAAAATTGTCAGTGGGTGATTTTTCTGGGATACATGTCTATTAAGAAATACTTGTGAGATGAGGGATGGATACTGAAGCTCCTGTCACATATATTCATGTTTACACCTGTAATGAGTTAATTTAGTGTACTAAATACATAGCCTCTTCGTGGTTTATAGAACTAATTAGTATGTTTGTGTTAATAGATTATTCTCTTAGGTTTGGGTTGGATGCTTTCTAAGTAGAAATTGTCAGCTGAAGAAACACTGTCTTTTTCTTAATCCTTTTCAGTGTGTGTTCATTTTATTGAAATACTTTATAACCCAGTTATTTTTATGGAGCCAGTGTAGTCTTGCAGGAAAATCTTTGGATTAGAAGTCAGGATGCCTGAGCTCAAGTCCTGGAACCACCCTCAAGTTAGCACTTTAAATTAAAAAAAAAAATTTTTAAGTAAAACTTTTACCTAATTTGTAATTTGTTAAAAAAAGAGACTGTAAAAAAAATAAAGAGTATCATCAGTGTCATTACAGGGAGGAATAGGATATTAAGCAGATGAGTATATTCAGTGTTTTGAATATCTAAAAAGAGGTGTTAATTGTTTTAGGTCTTTAGAACATTGACCTTTAGTATTGGCCTTCACAGAACAGGGACCTGTTTTCTGTGTGCTATCTAAAACTGGTTTATGTTGAACACACTTGACTAGTTTTTACTTGTTTTTCAATATTTTGTATTTTGTTGGGTGATTGAGTCTTACTTGTATTTATGTTACTGAAATATGACATCGAAATTTTTTTAATCCTTTCATTTTGAGGAAAATAGAGGCTTCAGATATCATCTGACTTAGTTTATTATCATCTGATGGTTTTAGCCTAATATGATCTCTTTTACTTAAAGCATGGTTGATATACTAGGGAAGAAATGGTGGGTAGTGCTTCTTAGAATAATACATTCACTTCAGTGTTGTATTCAGTAGATCTGTTCCTCCCATTATTACATATAGTACAATGTTAACCAACCATAATAGTTTAGTTGTGGTTGTTATGTTTCTTTCCACATCCTGTTGTAGAAATATGGAAAATTTCTGTCCTTAGTTGTATTAAACCTGTTCGTATTTCGTAGTGTGTAGAGTGGCTACTGCTTTCTTCTGTGTTACTTAACTCCTATGGCAAGTTGCTGTATTTGACTTTATGACTAATAACTGAATCTAAGATACAGATAGGAATTCTGCCTCTTTCATATTCAATAATAATTTTGCTTTGTTACTTGGACACCTGAGAGATAGGAAACTGCACTCTTACCCACAAACAAACATATAGTAATTGTTCCGTTGTTTTGACATTTTTAAATAGGAAGGCTTACCAATTGAAAATGTTTGAGAATTCTCAAATGTTGAATACTGGTAAGACCACCTATTAAATTATCAAGAAAATTAATGAGTCCTGTTTCTTCAGATTGAGCTACAGTTAGTTGTTGTGCTAATTTATTAAAGGTGTTTGGTTTCTGGAATTTTAAGGAAAATTTTTGTATATGTATGTTGTTAAGTGCCGTTGAGTCAGTTCCAACCCATAGTGACCCTGTGTATCGTTTCCGAGGAGTGGATGCTGAATTTGAACTGCCGACCTTGCAGTTCAAACTGACTTTGCAGTCCAGCACATTAACCCACAGCACCACACCAGGACTCTCTCTCTCTCTC